CTCTGCCTCCCAAGAGCTGGGATTAAAGGCGTGCATCACCACCGCCCGGCTTCTACTTTTCAAAGTAAAATGTTTATAATAGAATGTTTCAAACAGAGCAGTACAGATACCTATGGACCCACTACTGGCTTGGAATTTTATCACACTTGTTTTGATTCACTCTCCTTACCTCTCTAGCTTTATTGATATATAGTGGGGAATGATAAAGAGAAAAGCCCTTGTGTACTGACCCACTGTTAACATCTTCCCGCTCTCTGTGCCATTTCTATGTATGTCTTTACATGCATACCCATAAGTGCTCTTTTCTGCTGCACATTCAGACATATAATTTAAATGGAATCGGACCATCCCAAACCTATGATTTAGAACCTTTCTTCTCTCCTAAAACTATACTTTGAATAAAATCTCTAGTTAGTGTCACCGCTCGTTGTTAGATGCATCATTTACCTACTCCGTCACTGAGGGGCTTCAGTTATTTCTATGTTTCTATGTTTCATGAACACTACACACAAAAGCTTCATCAAGCAGATGCCAGGAACAGGCTTTCTGGGAAATGTTCATCTTTATGACTTCTTGCCCATGTTTTACCTGGAACTGACTGTGTCAGTTCACCGTTTGCAGCCTTTTGGCAGTCTGTGTCCTTTGTGGGCCACTGAGGATTTGTGTTCAATTCATGCCTGAGAAATCTGAGGGCACATACCTGAGGCAGGTTGAAGGAGAAGTTGCAGGAAGAGAACGGTGGCTGCAAGGGGATTACGCTGGCATGCACATAATGTGAAACGTGTGTGAGGTCATCTTAAAACACTGTCCAAGAGGCCTTGGCGTATGTTAGACTATAACATGGTAGCTTCAAGTGTCACTAAATTTCTAGAAGGAAAAACATCCATATTTGTCTTGTCTAAGGAAGCGCAGGTGAATGGCTCCCTGGTTACTGAGGAGACCCATGGGAATGTCTGCAAGAAGCTGCCACAGCTACATAGGACTTAGCCTCCGCCCACAGAGCAGTGGCAGTCTAAGGACAGACCTAGTCCCCTCTGCTCTTCTCCCTGCTGCTACAACCCAAGCAGGGATGGTGGAGGAAAAGAGAAGCCCCCCACCCCCGCCTCCCTTCCCCAAGCCAGCTTCCCACTGAGGCCAGGACTGACAGAGGAAAGAAGCCTGAGATTACAGTTGGAACTTTGACTTATTATGTTGATGACTGAGATGACTTTATTTTGGGGCCTTAAGGAGCTACACAGTAGGACTTCTGAAAAGCCAAGAGTGAGCAGAAAATTGTGACTTTGTACCCTCCCCCTGAATTTATACCTAAAGATAAGGAAAAACAGTCCACTGAAAGCACTCAGCCACAAAACACTGTTCTTAAAATTCTGGCTAAGACATCATTTAATGGTAAAACTTTTGTTAAAACCAAAACAAAGAACCTCATAATGCCTCCAAAATGTAATAAAGTTGGGGTAGAGATTCCACAGTCCTGAGGTGGTAGCGTGGATACTTGAATCTAAGTTAATTGGAGTGACTGGCCACATAGGCATGTTGTCAGTGATCCCAGTACCAGCACAGAAAGAACAAAGGAGTGTGTGTGTGTGTGTGTTCTCTGTACATCTGTAGCTTTTGTCCTTTGTGGCGCTGAGAACACAGGGTGTAGCTACCCGACTGAGCTCCATTCCTGACCTTCTATGTGACTTTTAACAGACATGCTGCACTGACTAGAGCAGTTCACTTGTTTTCAGAGAACAAACTAACATGTGACCTGATACCATTGAGTAGGCATTAGCATACATGAATGCTAGTGGTTTTGTTGGGGTTTTGTTTGTTTTGTTACTTTTTTGGTGTGAGAGAGGGGTGTTGTTCTTAGCTTATGTGAGAAGAGGACAACCTGGGGGATTTGGTTCTTTTCTTCTTCCATGTGGGTTCTGGGGATTGAACTCAGGTTGTCAGGCTCACAGAGCCAGCTCCCCAGACCTCAGTTTGCTTTTTTGAGACTGGAACTCAAATGCCCAATCTGGTCTCACAGTGGCTATGTACCCAGGGACAGCCTGAAGTCCAGATCTTCCTGCCTCCACCCCTCCAATATAAACATTGGTCTTATAGAAGGTGACTGACATATTACTAATGTGTTTCTTTTTAACATTGTTAATTCAAGTAGAAACTTAGTATCCTTAGTAAATTTAATATTCCTTCAAAAATAGTTCCTTCTGTGGTTCAGGGTGAAAAAAAGATCTCTAGGGTGGAAAAGTCAAACAGAAAGAATACACACCCCTTTAAAGTCACCATTTTTAATTAAAAATGTCTTATGTAGTATACAAACCAAACTTCATGATTACATGCAAGCACAGTTTCTGAATAAGATCAAAAAGGCACAGTGGGGATCAAATAAACAGTCTAACAAGATTAATTATTTTTCTCAGAAAAAAAAACTCTTCTTAGGTCAGTCACACCCGGAGCACATTATCAGAGCAACCTTGGCTCAGGCCCACTCTTGACCATCACTTTGAGCAAGATTAGGACAGCGACCCTAAAACTGAGGAATGTTTAGCATGAGTGACAAGCAAGCACATGGGATCTGCTTAGCCACACTTGAACTTGTTTGGTGAGCTGCTAACTTAGTTACACTTCACGGGGTGAAAGTGGTCTTGGTACAAGGAGATGAAGCATGGCCTCACCATACTCAGCAACTGCCAACTAACATGATAGGCAAAGCCAAAGAAAGGGGCTCATGAAAACTTTGGATCTGTTTAAAATTGGAAACCAGATGGCTAGTCTTAGTAAGAGATGCTGACGGTCCCACATGAAGAAATGACTGGCTTCCCGGGGAAGAAAATGGCTTTTGTTCTGTAAAATTCACACTGAAAAGAAAATCTAAAAGCATTTAGTGCACTCGATCTCCACAAAACACAAATGAGGAAATAATCTGATAAAGACATGGAGCACATTTTAATTTCTAATTCTAAATCTCCATGTATGTCTTAAAAGCTTTGAAAGTACAAGTTTAAGGCATCAAAATTACTAATTATAGATGATAATAGCACAGTCTGGATCCTAGGAGGCAACTGGAGGCGTTTTAATTGGAAATAAGCATTTGAGATAGTGTTAATAGCAGTGCAGAAAAATGAAATTAAAAAAAACCGACAGTGTTAAGAAGCCTTGTGTCCTGCGCCTTGCTTTAATCATCTCCTCCGCAGAGAATGAGAAGAACCTTCCTGTAGTCTCCGGAAGTGTCGCCCTGGGAGAAAGGAGAGCACAGTAACCAGCGTGTTAGGATCTTCTTGGATAGATTACACAGCTCAAAATCACCTACGTTTATTTTGCAAGTCTCACTGGATTTTCTCAGGTTCTCAAAAAAAATGTTTTTATTACTAAATTAATACTTTGGGCTGGAGAAATGATTTAGCCACTAAGAATATTTCTTGCTCTCACATAGAATCTGAATTTGATTTTCGGTATTCCCAGTTGCCCATAGTAATAGCTCCAGGGGATCTGATGCCTTCCTCTAGTCACCTTGGACACTGCACACATGAGGCACATATACATACATACACACATACATACATATACATGTGATGGTTTGTATATGCTTGACCCAGGGAGTGGCACTATTAGAAGGTGTGGCTCTGTTGGAGTAGGTGTGTCACTGTGGGGGCATTAAGACCCTCATCCTAGCTGCCTAGAAGCCAGTATCTACTAGAAACCTTCAGATGAAGATGTAGAACTCTCAGCTCCTCCTGCACCATGTCTGCCTGGATACTGCCATGATCCTGCCTTGATGATAATGGACTGAACCTCTGAACCTGTAAGCCAGTCCCAATTAAATGCTGTCCTTATAAGAGTTGTCTTGGTCATGATGTCTGTTCACAGCAGTAAAACCTTAACTAACACACACACACACACACACACACACACACACACACACACATTTTAAAAAGTAATACTTATTCTGTGTTTTAAAAAAGTACTTAAGAGCCTAGGGTCTAGGAATCACCCACAATTCCATGACCTATGGATCACTGTTCTTAACATTCTGACTTGTTCTTCTCCTTCTAGTCTTTTCTCTGTGTGTGATGAGATTTTTAGGATGGAATTCGTCTATGTCCTCATTTTGCATTTTTTATTTTTGGTGGTGCCAGGACCAAATCATGGCCATCCTCAAGCTAGGCAAGTGTAGGCAACTGCTCCACTAATGAACTGTACACCCAATCTTTGCATCCTGCTTTTTTTTTTTTAATTTACAGTATCATTTAGTGATTTCAGAACATTTTCTTACCCATTGTCAGATATTTAGGTGGTCTCCAATGTTTCTTTTTTTTCTTTTTCTTTTTGTTTTGGTTTTTCGAGACAGGGTTTCTCTGTGTAGCCCTGGCTGTCCTGGAACTCACTTTGTAGACCAGGCTGGCCTCGAACTTTTGAACTCAGAAATCCACCTGCCTCTGCCTCCCAAGTGCTGGGATTAAAGGCGCACGCCACTACCGCCCGGCCAGCTCAATGTTTCATTATAGCAAACTTTGCTTAATAAAGCACCTAGATACTGAGCTTTTATTAATTTTGATTTGAATACATTCTCATAAAATGAAAATTACTAGGTTAAAATTGTGGATTTTTCTAATACTTTTGAAATGAGTTGCAACAGTGACTTCCAGAGAAGTCCTATAATTTCTACATGGAAATTTTTATAGCTTAAAGAGTATATTGTGGCTTTCCTTATTATTTATTTATTTATATTTTTGGCACTAGAGATTGAAGGGGGCCTTGTGTATACATTAAACAAGCAAAGCTCTCAGCTCAGTAAGTAAGTCTGGATTACTTCTTCTTAATGGGCACCAAAACAAATGGTGCCTCTGACTTTAAGAGTTCCTTCACAATGAATAGTAATATATTAATAGTTTGTGTCAGTGCCCTGTGGAACAGTAAATATGCATTAAAGTCGCTTACTGGCATAGTGTTTTGTCATCCTCTTTGTTTGGAGCTGTCCCAGTTAGGTTTCTGCTGCTGTGATAAAGACCATGACCAAAGCAACTTGGGGAGGAAAGGGTCTATTTGTGAAGCCAGGGCAGGAAATCAAGGCAAGAACCTGGAGGCAGGAACTGAAGCAGAGAGCATGGAGGGGTGCTGCTTACGGGCTTGCTCTCCATGGCTTGCTCAGCCTGCTTTTTTATATACCCCAGGACCACCTGCCTAGGAGAGACACTGCCCATAGTGGACTGGGCCCTTCCACATCAATCATCAATGAAGAAAATGCCTCACAGGCTTGCTTGCTTACAGGGCAATCTGAGGGGCATTTCCTCAGCTAAGGTTTCCCATTCTCAGATGACTCTAGCTTATGTCAAGTTGACAAAAAAACTAACCAGCACAGGCAGGAGTTTTGTGACAATTTAATCCTCCATTTTCTACCCTACTTCATGTGCATGCGTGTGCGTGTACCCTCATGAACCGGTTGACATTCGGTATCTTCTCCTGTGGTTCTCACTCTACACATTATTGAGACTCACTGAATTTGGAGCTCACCAACTGGGCAAGACCAGCTAACCAGAGCCCCAGGGATGCTCTTGTCTCTGCCTTTGCCTGCACTCCGGTAGCAGATGCTTGCTGTCACTCCTTTTATGTGAGTGCTGGGTACTCATACTTACATGACAAGCATTTACCCATCGAGCCCCCACTACACTCCCCAGCCCCATGTCCCCATGTCCCCATTTTTCCTTCTTTTAATAGCAGCTCTCACATGGTCAGTGCCTTCCCTGCTCTTCAGGATATTTGATTCACAGGTCAAATCTCAATGAGATGTTTGTTGTGTGGGCAACCCAAGCTTCTCCGAAATTATTCTCAGCTTCATGTTTATGAGATTCTCCAGGCTTCTTAGAGAAGCAAAGGCCCAGTTAATGAGGGGTTGTGAGGGGTGAGTCAGTTTTCACCACACCCACGCCACCTTAGAACTCCCGGCTGTCTGGTACCAAATAAAGAATGGTAAGTGGGCAGGAGGAGGATGCTTTCTTTCTCCTGTTTCCATCAGACCCTTCTGGCCCCACAGAGGACCCTGGCTTCATCTGTTTCTGCCATCATTATCAGGCAGATGTGGAAGTTCTGCTCTTAAAAGTATTCATTAAAATTTAGTAACTGTGAATTCTATTTGCAAGATCTGAGGAGCTAGAAGTTGGCACCCTGGGGGAATAGCTACTGTCAGCCTCACAGGTCACTGAGCTCAGTGCTGTGAGGAGAAGGTGTGAACAGGAGACCAAGTGTGAGGACCTGCTGTTCCTTACAAGGAGCCTCTTAGGAAATGCATCTTGCGTGAGAAACGTGTAGGTTATAGGAATTCGTGGTGGGTTATTTAATAAGAAATGTCTCCCACAGGCTCATGGGTTTGAAAACTTGGTCCCCAGTTGGTGGCACTGTTTGGAGAGGTTATGGATCTTTTAGGAGGTGCGGCCTTGCTGGAAGTGTATCACTAGGATTGGCTTGGAGGTTTTATAGCCTTGCCCCACTTGCTGTTCCCTCTGTTTCCTGTGTTCAGATAAAATGTGATTAGCCAGCTTTCTGCTCCTTTAGCCTTCTGCAATGCCCTCCCTCCTCTGAGACTATATGCCAAGATAAACCATTTCTTCCTTAAGTTGCTTTTGGCATGGTATTTATGCAGCAGCAGAGAGTAAACAAAAACATACAAACGTGCCCAGTTTATTTCCCCATTTACTGGGTGCATTTATGGAAGGCATGTGACAGATCTTGGAGGGAAGAAACGGAAATAATAAAAGCAATTGAGAGCTCAAATAATGGGATATATGCCAGTTACAGACATAGGTCTTTTGTTTGTTTGTTTGTTTGGGTTTTTTGTTTGTTTGTTTTTTTGGTTTTTCGAGACAGAGTTTCTCTGTGTAGTCCTGGCTGTCCTGGAACTCACTCTGTAGATCAGGCTGGCCTCGAACTCAGAAATCCGCCTGCCTCTGCCTCCCAAGTGCTGGGATTAAAGGCGTGCGCCACCACTGCCAGGCCAGACATAGGTCTTATGTAACCCAAGGACCCTAAAGTTTGCAATATCAAATACTGGAATAAATTATGTGAGGTTGTTTTCTGTGTTTGGGTATTTTGCCTACATGTGTCTGGGCACGACATGCACGTAGTCCTACAGAGGCCAGAAGAGGGAGCCAGAGTCCTAGAACTGTAGTTACAGGTGGTTGTGAGCTGTCATGTGCGTGCTAGGAATGGAAATGAGGTCCCTTGGAAGAGCAGTCAGTTCTCTTAACTGCTATCCTTTAGCTCCAGCCCCTGGTACTCATTCTCACCAACCTTGGGGCTGAGGTCAGGGGTGATGCTTCCTCCTCACACTCCATGTTCACGTGAACAGGTCAGTTACTTAAGATGTCAGGGCTTGTTATACTACACATGCTTTAAATAAAAGCAGAACTAAATCACTACCCCAAAATGTCCATCCTTATTTGGGGCCACCATGAAATTGTTACTGTACTTAGCAGGTAAATACTTCTTATATATCATGAGAAAGGGGGTGGAGCTAGGAATTCCTGAAGCAAGGGCCATCTTCACTGGGAATGACAGATGCCAAGGAGGAGAAAGCCAGTGGTGCTGCACCCCAAGGCCAGGCCCGGATGGTGCACCTACCTTGATGAAAGAGTACAAAGACTTCCCATAGAGCCTCTTGAAGTTCGCTCGGATGTCCAGCATGTCAATCTCTGCTCTTGAAACCATCACTCTGATGAGGGTACTGTCATCAGTGCCTAAGCCCTGAGGAAGGGAGCACAATTCTGCATTGGGTGATGCTACTCATGGTCCAGCAGGGCAAGACAAGGCACAAGAGTGAGTCTGTACAGCATCGTCTGCTGTACGACCTGGGAGGCCCGAGGAACATCCTCATGCCTTACCTTGGGATGCAAGGCTGGACACAGTCCACCTTCCCAACATGCTGTGTGCTGGCCAGAAGACATGCTCTGTCTTTCCACAGACAGGCTCTGTGCTGTTCTTGTCTCCCCAACCCATGTGGAATGCTTCTCCCAAGGTTCCGTTTAAACATAACAATCTGGTCTCTCCCTCCCCCAGTCCACCCCCTCTCCTAATAAGACAAGGCCTTGCTATACATAGCCAAGGGTGGCCTCAAACAAAGCAATCCTTTTTCAGCCTCCCAAGTGCTAGAATTCCAGGTGTGTGCCGGAATACACGGCTTCAAATTCCTTATATATTCCTTTCAAATCCTCCCTCAATAACACTGATAAGCTCCACTGTCTTTTGAATTGCTATAATATTGAGATGCTGAGCTCCCGTCTTCCACGCTTGTCCCACACTTGGTGTTTTCTGCACATTAGCTCTTTCCTTGAGGATAGATGTTCTTTAAGGACAAAAAACTTTCCACCCAGTGTGATGACACAGGCCTGTGATGCCAGGACTTGGAAGGCTAAGGCAGGATGATCAGAAGTTCAAGACCAAACTCAGTTCCATAGAGAATTCCAGGCTAGCCGGGGCTACACGAGAACTTGTTTCATAACAACAACAAAACAACAAGAACAACAACAAAACCCAAGCACTCAGGTTCCTGGTTTCCTGCCCCAGGGACTTAGGGGTCCCTGGCAGGACTGCCTGCACAGGGTCCAACACAGATCTGGGAAGCCGGCTCTAAAGGTGGAGTTCACCCCCTGGGGCACTCCGCCCTCCATGAACAGTGAAAACAAATTGTGTATAGGCTTTATGCCTCAGTTTACCTAGCTGTAAAACAGGACAGTTGTGTCCCTGTTTCTGTTGTGGGGCTAGAATTAATCCATACCCATAAGGCACTGGGATCAGGGTCCACACATTACAAGACCAGTGAAGAATACAACACGGAGTTGAGCTGAATATTCCAGGGTGGAATTTGGGTGGAAAACTTAAGAAGGTGAAAAAAAAATTATGGCACGGTCTTTCAAATGATAAGAGCACAGCCATTTACCTTCATGGATTTATAAAGCCTCTCAGCAAAATATGCAGGTTTATTCCTCATGCACTTCACTGTGGAGAAGATGAACAGGAAGAAGTGAGTAGAGGCCACGCCCCTGCCCAGAAGCCCACCCCATTCTCATGAGCACTTCCTGTCTCTTAATAAATCATCTCTATTTCTAAAAATAGGAAAATAAGAATGAAAAGATTACACACACACACACACGCACACACACACACACACACACACACACACACAAAACCCAAGAACAAAAAAATGTGACAGTCTAGGTTTCTATAAAGTCCCAAGAAATAGCTCCTTATTGCTTTGCTAGATCCCTTTAAACCAAGTAACACTTCCTGACACTTCGGGCGGACCCCCTCTCAGATGGACAGGAACCTCGGCTTAGCAGTTCCTAGAGAAGTCATTAATGAAGGTCATCAAAGCAAGGGTGGCCTGTAGTTCCAAAACGATTATTACAACTGCTGTATAAAACAGTTGCTACGAAGCTGGAGAAATGGCTCAGTGGTTAGGAGTCCTTGCTGCTCTTGCAGAGGACTTGGGGGGTGGGGGTGTTCAGTTCCCAGCACTCAGATGATTGCTCACAACTGTCTGGAACTCCAGTTCCAAAGGATCTGATACACTCTTCTGACATCTTAGGGCACAAGGCATGCACATGGTACACAGACATACGTGTAGGCAAAACACCCATACACATAAAAACTTTCAAAAATCTAAGTGAAACAGCTTTAAAACCCACCACACATTGACTTGCCAGATATAGCTAGTGACAGCTAGTGTGGCAATCTCTCTCCTACAATGAGATAGACAAATGCCAAAGACCAAAGACATGAGCCCCTGGCACAATACCAGTCAGGCTCTCACATAGCCCAGGCTGGCCTTGAACTCTCTATGTAGCTGAGGGTGATCTGGAACTACTGATCCTCAGGGCTACCTCCACCTTCCAAGTGCTGGAATGACATATGTGTACTATGGTTAGCTTTGCAAACATTTCTTGTTTAAACTTGTAGAACAGCCATATGGGGTGGCTCATGTCTATGATCCTAGCATTCACAGAGCCAAGATAAGAGGATTGCCGAAAGTTCAAGGCTACCTTTGTCTACTGAGAGAGATTATCTAGAAAAAGAAAATTCTGGGGCCAGAGAGATGGCTCAGTGGTTAAGCTGATCTTGCGGAGGACGGGAGTTTGGTTCCGGGCAACCCATGTGGCAACTCACAGCCATCTGAAACTCCCGTTACAGGGGATCTACCACCCTCTCCTGGCCTCAACAGGTATTGCATACATGTAGTGCACAGATGGATGTGCAGGCAAAATGTTCTGGAACATCGATTGGCTGTAGTTCAGGTACTTGGGGACTGTGGAGAGAGGATTCCATTAATCCAGAACTTCCAGACCAGCCTGGCCAACTTACCATTTTTTAAAACTCCAGAATGTACCCACGGTGATTGAAACAACTTTAATTTCAGGAAGACACAGTTCTGTATCTCTGTGACAACATCTGGATATGACATCAGCAGGATCAACTCTACTGCTCAGCAGCTTACCTATGGCCAGCAGGGCATCTTCAAAGCTTCCTGACGTCTCAGACTTGATGCTCTGCTCAATGTCCTTCTGGGAGATCCTTTTGTATTCATCAAACACTACGACCAGTAAGAAAATAGTACGATTTAGAGAACGGGGCTGGTGTGGTGGTCATCTGCTAACGGCACTTGCAGCTAAGCCTGGTGACCCAAGTTGATCCCCGGGACCCACAAGGCGGGAGAGGAGCGATGACTTGGGCAGGTTGTCCTCTGCTCTCTACCCGTGATAGTGGCATTTGCATACTTATATACAAGTACACACATGTGCACATGCATGCACACACAAACACACATACACTCCCTCACACATAAACTCCCCCTCTCTCCTTCTCTCTAAATAAATAAATACACACATAAATAAATAAATATAATAAAATTTAAATCCAGAAAACTAAAATTTATGGAGAGAATGAATACAAGCTTATACTACTTTGTTTTTTTTATTTGTACATGTCAAGAGGAAACGTTAGTCCTGTGGGTGAGTACCCAGGCAGGATGCCGCCTGCTGGACTGGACCCATCCAGGAGGAAGAGTGCTGAGATCCCTGGAGAACATCAGGCACCCCCTTGCCCTGGGTAGTGGAGAGAGTCTTTGGGGACCTTTGCTTTCTCCTTGCTTAAGCAGACGGGGTCTGGTGCCTCACACCTGTAATCCCAGTTTGTGGCAGGTGGAGGCAGGCTCAGCGGTTCTTCAGTTACACGCTAAGTCTGAGGTCAGCCGGACTACACAAGACCCCATCATTTTGAAACGTCAGCCTCAGAACTCACCTGTGTACTCCTTGTCCATTTGGCACTTTAAGACAAGAATGATTCTGACTCCTCAAAACTGAGTCACAGATGGTAACAGCTAGTTGCATCTTTTAATTTTTTTTTTTTTTTTGGTTTTTCGAGACAGGGTTTCTCTGTGTAGCCCTGGCTGTCCTGGAACTCACTCAGTAGACCAGGCTGGCCTAGAACTCAGAGATGCGCCTGCCTCTGCCTCCCAAGTGCTGGGATTAAAGGAGTGCACCACCACCGCCCGGCAAAAAAAATTTCACATTATTATTATTATTATTATTGCTTTTTGTCAAGGACTTTTGGATGTGATGAATACATTTTCCTCTTCTTCTAGAGACTTCTCAGGATAGACATGTCTTGCTTATCTCCTTAGTGACCTTCGTTGGCTGTCCTATGCCCATCTGTGTGAGTCGTACAGGTGGTCAGTCAAGGAACACCGGTGTCCAGCAACTTCACCACCTCAGCCCAGCAGGGTCCTTAGAGCTACTTACTCATCAAGGAGATGGCTTTCTTGCTTTTGCTTTTTAATTTTGTGTGGTCAGGCATAGTGGTGTACACCTGAGATCCCACCACTTGGGAGGCAGAGGCTGGAGAATCCCTGTGAATTTGAGGCTAGCCTGGACTACATAGGAAGTTCCAGGCTAGCCAAGGCTATACCATGAGACTCTATCTCAAAACAAATTTACGTGTGGTGTGGTATGTGTATGCCCTAATGTATGAGAATTTGCATGCTTGTGGGAGCCAGAAGCTGGTATCACGTGTCTTCATATTTTTAGCTTATTTTAATTAAATAATTTATTTCAAATGTGCTCACACTGCTTATTATGTGCATATTCGTGCACAGAAGGGCACTGGGTGTCCTCCTCTATCCCTCATTATCTTACTACTTTAAGGCAGGGTCACTCACTGAAGGAGAAGCTCACTATCTCAGTTACGTTGGCTGGCCAACAAACTCCTGGGCTCCACCAGTCTTTGGCTTCCAGTGCTGGGCTTACAAGCACATGCAACAATACCTGGCTTTTTTATGTGAGAACATGGGATTTGAACTCAGGCCCTCTTGCTTGCCCAGCAAGCATTCTTCCCTGGTGAGCCATTGCCCAACACTCCACATTATTATTATTATTTTATTATTGGAGACAGTCCTCTCCATAGCTGGAGCTCACCTATTAGCCAGACTGGCTGGTCAGCAAGTCACCTTTCCTGCCTAGAAGTACCTTGATTTCTGTCCTCATGGAGGAGTTCAGATCTCCCTCCAGTATTAGGAGCCACCAGTATTTTCTCTTTCCTTTTTGTCAGTTATATTTGTCCAGAATCAGAGAAGTTAATTCAACCCCCACTGTACACAGGAACAAAAGCTTTGGGATACAAAATTATCCACGAACCTTTAGTTTGGAACTATTCAGTTTCACTACCTAAATAGAGCTTAAAATATTGTCTCTTGTGCCAGATGTTGGTGGTGCCTGCCTTTAATCCCAGCACTCTGGAGGCAGAGGCACGAGGATCTCTGTGAGTTCAAGGCTAGCCTGTTCAATAGAGCGAGTTCCAGGACAGCCAGGGATACACAGAGAAACCCTGTTTTTTTTTTTTAAAGTATCTTGTTAATTTATGAACAAGTAACTTTTTTTTTTGCACTTGTGATTCTTTTAATACAAATTGCTACAACAAATACATAAAGATATGGCAGATTATCCATTTGCTCAAAGGACTTGACTTAAGCATAGAACAGATTCAAATGGTCTAAGGATGTGCAGAAGACCCAAGGACTTGCCGGCTGGCTTCCAGGCAGCCTTCTCTCTAATCAGAATCCATCATCCTCAGCTGCAGATGAGACAGGGCACAATCTGTCGTAAACAGGGAACTGTTGTAAAATATTCTTAAATTACGATCATTCTCGTTCAGTTGAAAAGACTCTCCCAAGTGTCTTCCAGCATGGTAGTATGTCATCTGTCGACCTCTTAATTTCATAAATTAACTTTCCTTTGATTCCATTTTATAGTGGTTGTGTTCAGTTTTGGTTTAAAAATGGGTTTAAATTTATATAAAACTCTGTACATGTTCACAACTTATTGCACAAACAGCATAATCTTCAAGACAGTGTTTGTAAACACATGTCCAATTCAGGAAAAAAAAAATCATGTTTCCCGTCTGGCCTTTTTCTTTTTTCTTTTTTTTTATTTGTTTTGGAGATACCCAGCTAGTTTCAGACTTGGTCTGTGAGAGGGGCACACTGTTTTGCTTAGCATTTGACTTGGGCTTGTCTGTGTCTTGTAACACTGGTGGCACTTGTGAAGAACTCTTGTCAGAGTCACCTTTTGATAAAGTAACAGCTGGCTCTACAGAGATAGCAGGTGGAAGAATCTTGATAGGCTGGCTATTTTTGTGAGGACTTCAACTGGATCACTAGTGCTCAGGTCTTCAGGGAACAAGATTTCTCCTGTTTTGGATGGGATTCCGAGGTATTCACTGGAACCTCTTCTCTAGTGTCCTATGAACCGGTAATTTTTAATTGCCCAAATACAGACACGCTTTGAATTAGTCTTAGTAAATGCTTCCTAGGACATGCAGTTCTGGAGAAGTGCCACAAGGGGGAGCTCACATTGTAACAGCCAAGGGGTGGGGGCAATAAAAGAAAGCTCAAAGTCCCAACTCTCATGGTTACCTATGATTTATGAACAGGAATAATTGCTTATTATTATTTTCTTTTGCCACTGAGGAATATCTAGAATAATTACAACTTGTAAATGTGTCAAACTTTGCAGTTATATTATGTTTTCAATTTAGCAAACCCATTCTCCTCCAATTTCCCACAAGCTTTGTAACTCTGCCTGTGACAGGGGTGTGGTGGTTTATAAAACAATGGGGCCATGAAAGTCTAAAAAGCTCATCTCCAAGACAGACTGCCCCACTGAGTCCTTACTGCTGTTTATAAGAAGACTTAGCCTGACGACAGTTATTCTATAATAGTTTAGTGTTCTCCCCGCCCCCCCAAAGAAGTTAAAAGCACATTGCAAAGTTTAGAAATTACCAGAAGCAAATTAGGAACATCACACAAAGGAAAAAAAAAGTGAAAATACCCACGACTCATCTTATTCAACAGAACCCCTGAAGAAGTCCATCAGTGGTGTTAACTAGAAGTAAGTGTCAACCAACATTTGTTTAGCTAGTTCCTCAGGTAGAGGAGGTTAATTTCTTATGTAAGTAGTGGGGAAGGCTGTCTTGGGGCTGTGCTAGAACAAGAACTGACTGTGGAGGTTGGTTTCCTGGAATAAGGAATGCTAAACTGTTACAAACACATTGCAAACCTGTCAGTTACTCAAATTAATCTTTCAAAATTGGCCTTCATTCATGTATTACCTCCTACATTTGCAGAGTAATATCCAACAGTTCAGTTTCTTTATTGTATCATGGTGAGTGATATACATCGAGATACAGTATATACATGTTTGGAATGATCAAACAATAAATGAAAGTTATTTGTTAAAAGGTTATCAGGGGCTAGAGGGATAGCTCAGTGGTTAAGAGCACTTGCTGCTCCTACAGAGGATCTGAGTTTAGATCCCTTCCCAGCCCCCACTTGGTAGCTCATAAGTGTCTGTGACTCCAGTTCCAGGGGATCTTGTACCCTCTTCTGATCTCCAAAGACACCAGATACACTCATAGTTCACAGCCGTACATTCAATCAAAACATTCATACACATAAAATGAACCTTTAAAACATTTAAGATTCTACTTTCCACTGTAAGTTCCACCATTCTAGCAGAATCGAGTGAGCAGTGAGGTAGGTACCCACCATGGAGCAGATGGTTCCGATTCCGGGAACAGAGAATGCTTAGGAATTTCACCTCGTCTGTCCCCCATCTCTTCTCTCCAGCCTCATACAGTTCCTGATGACAAACAAACCGTGAGCTTACACACCAAAAAAGATGTGCCAGCAGCTGGAAAAGAGTTCTCAAACTTCTAAGAGTCAAGCTTGCTTGGTTTTATTTTGTTAGTTGGGAAGGCAAATGTACACACACACACACACACACACACACACACAGAGTCTTTCATTTTCCTTAACCTCACAATGGCATGAAAGCAACATACAGTCAGTAGATATCAGCAGCAAAAGGCAAAGTTTGCATTTCAATCTCTCCTTGAGCCAGGCGATGCAGTTTGGAACTTCATCAAAATGTGAGCATCAAGCAGAGAGCCTTATTCCCAGGCAGCTACACAATGCCAAGGGCAGACAACCAGCACGCTACAGTGGACTTTGCTGCTAAGCTCCCTGCTGTAAATACATTTTCATCTTACACTAGGTGGGAACATAGCACCATTCCAAGCCCTGTTTCTGTCTCTCTCTCCATTTCTCTCTGATGTATGTGTGTGTGCGTGCATATGTGAATGCAGCACGTGTGTGTGTGCACATGTGTAGGCACGTGTGTGTCGATCCTATTTTGCAGAAGATCCTGACGTATACCCCGGTGTGTTAATAAAGGAAGGCAGACACCACACTGATTTCTGGCACCAGAACACGAGCAGTCACGCAGCCCCAGAGACTCCATGAAGCCCAAGGTGTGCACTCTCTCCACACTCTCTCTTCTTTCTAATGCAAACAACAGGCTCTTTTCTGCATGTTCCACTGTGGCTCATACCCTGCATGTAGAGTGGAACCACCCGTTGCTACATTGTGTTGGTTAACAATGGAGGAACTAAACACAAATCCCAGTTCTCCCATGTTCTGATTTTTTTTTTTTTTTTTTTTTTTTTTTTTTTTTTTTTTTTTTTTTTTGTCAGTGAGATGCAAGATAGCCTCAGTTGAGACAATGCCTCTCTTGGATTACCTGTAGGTAAGTGTGGCATTTTCTTGATTAATGATTGATGTGAGAAAACCCCTCCCCCATTGTGGATAGTGCCACTCCTGGGCTGCACTGGTCCTAGATGTTATAAGAAAGCAGGTTGAGAAAGCTATGGAAAGTAAGTCAGTAAGCAGCACCCTCCATGGTCTCTGCATCAGCTCCTGCCTCCAGGTTCCTGCCCTGCTTGAGTTCCTGTCCTGACCTCCTTTAATGATGAACAGTGAAATGTAAGACAAATAAACATTTAACTCCACAACTTGATTTTTGGTCATGGTGTTTTGTTGCAGCAATAGAAACCCAGAAACATAACTATGACACTCTATTATTTGGCCTGAACTCAAGCAAGGGGCTTTTCTTTTGAGCCTCAATTTCCTTACCTGTAAAATGGGGGTTAAAGTCCTAAGTTTGGTATAAGGATTCAATGGTATGCTTAAGAAAAGCCAGGTGGGGGTGCTTGGTTCTTATGAAAGGTCCACTGTTTATATGTTACCTGGCCACAGGGACAAGTGTCAGGACAGCTGTCCGCCAGTGTGGTGAGTGCCAGGTTAGCAGCTATCTTTTGAAAGTCACATGGTGTTGACATGTTCTCTTTAGGGAAGCATGAAGAGCAGAGGAGCTCCTTCCCTCTGTATCACTCAGCACTGAGCCCTTGCTCAGGGCATGTCCTGGGTTCCAGTCCTGGGCCACACGCCACTGCACTGACCCAGCTGACTCGGCCTTCTTAACTGACCAATCTTCATGATCAAAAGAATGCTAGACCTGATAGGTGGTTGGTCACTGCAGGACACACACACACATGCACACGCACACATGCACATGCACACACACACACATGCACACACGCACACACGCACACACGCACACACGCACACACGCACACACGCACACACGCACGCGCGAGCGTGAACATGCACGTGCACACGCACACACTTGGTGCTTCCCTAGGATCCTCATTGTGTCCTCAGTCTGAGGAAGAGACCTGAAATCCAGGAGAGTAGAAACAGTGCCCCGAGCTACCTGGGGTCCCAGGCACCCCTGAAAGACCTGCTAATCAAAGACTGTCTATGAGAGTCTTTTTTGTAATGCACTCAGGCGGACTAACACACCCTGAAGTAGAAGAGGCTGTCCACCAACCCAGTGAGGCCTCCCTTAGTGAAGAAACTGCAAGAAGGAAGTTGTGGTCCACTAACCTGGGCGTCCTGCTTCATGAGTGCATCATCCAGGTAATTTCCTTCATCCCTGCCACCCTGTGGGTGAAAAAACAAGTAACCATGGCAGCAAGTACCCATGGAGATGGCAGGGGCTTTTAAGACAGAAGGCCTGGAAACCCAAGGCACTGAGACAAACTGCAGTAAAAGCTGGGTCTTCAGGTTAGGAAGTTAGGACTGTTGTATTCTGTCACAGGGCTTGGACCTATCCTCTGGAGATGGTCTCAACAGAGTGCTGGCCCCACTGTGACTCCTGATGTTGCAAAGATGTCTTCCTAGTAGAAGGGCAATACATCTTTCTAACCCACTCCCACTCTACCCCTCCCCCACTACACTGACTCCACCCCTACTCCACCCCTCCCCCCACTGTACTGACTCTACCCCCACTCTACCCCCTCCCACCACTGACTCCACCCCAACCACACCCCATGCCCCCACCGCTGCACTGACCCAGCTGACTCGGCCTTCTTAACTGACCAATCTTCATGATCAAGAGAATGTTAGACCTGAGGTGGAACTTGGGGAGCTGACACAATACCAACCCCAAATACATCAGCACCAGCATAGAGGGCCACAGGAACCCCTGGAGGAACACTGAAGAGTGATGGATAGGCACTGCCCTCCAGTTTGATAGGTTGTTCTTTTAAAAAAAGGGTGAACATGAAGTGCATGCTCCCAAGTAGCCTAAAGCTTACTACACACCCTTTGCAGACATCCCCCTGCCGAGGTGCTGCTTCCCTGTTGTGATTATCCTACAGGTGCTCCCACAAGTCCAACAGAGACAACGCCATCTCCTGGAACCTGCCTAGGATGCCATGTTGTCTTCTTGCAGTGACACCACCTGACTGAAGACTCCAGAGACAACACTGAGACCTAGAGTCACGCCAAACTCCAGAGACGAATGCCAAGATCCAGAGACAAACGCTAAATCCTACAGAAGACAGATCCAGACCTTCCAGCTACAGATGAACTCTTTTGCCAACATCAAATAGCTAAAGTTACATGTTAGTAAGACAAATATAATGTCTATCTAGATTAGTCAGCTGTTATTACCCTCAAACTGTACCACCTGTATTCAATTCATTCAATGATCCCTTGCCTTCCCACCCCCACCCCCAACTCCCCTGTGACTTAATTGTGCTAACCCCTCTGGCCTACATAGTGCTTTCTTTTGGCTTCTTCATCCAAAATTTTCACCACAGATGACACAGTGATCCCCTTTTTTAAAAAAGTAAAGGGGAGGAGATGTGGGACTGCATAAGGGTATCTTGGTTCATGGCTGGGCATGGGCCTGGAACCCCAAGACTCCAAGGGAGAAATGGCAGGTGTTCAGCCACGTCCCCAGAACCCAGAGTCCTGACATGCAGTCTCATCTCCATAGACCTACATTGTTCAGTCACATAGGCCATTACAGCCCCTCCCAAAGTGCACAGGTAGAGGGCAAGACTACAGGCCTCAGGCCCTAGGGATTTACATACTAATGAAGGCCAGAGGGTGGAGCAAATTAAGCATTCTTCCCAGAACCTCCCTCTTTCTCCCTTCCTATTTAACTCAGGTCTGCCCTGAGTTTCAGGGGGTACATCCAGACCATCTACCACCTGCCATGAAAATAAACCCTTTTGGAACTAAAAATAAATAAATAAATAAATAAATAAATTTTTAAAAAAGGGTGAAAAAAAAAGTGTGTGTGTGTAAGTGTGTGTGCACTCAACACGCACGCTATGTGTGCAGAGGTGCCTACAAAGGCTAGAGGAGGGCATCAGAACTCCAGGATCTGGAGTGACAGGTGGCTGTGGCCGTCCAATGGGGTGCTCAGGGTTTAACTCAGATCCTTGGCAAGAGCAAGAGGTAATCTTGACCTCTCCAGCCCTGCCACAGCATAAACATCTAAAACACAGGACGTATCTCTCAATAGCCTTGCAATCCAATAGCTGACATGAACTTGGGCCATGTGAACAGTAAATTAAAGTAGAAGAAATGGTTGGGCACGCATGGCTAGCCAGGGTCTCTGGAGGAGAAATACGATGTAGGAACAGAGTGGCCCAAGAGTGATGCCTGGGGATATCCATGTTGAGGAAACTGAGCGGATGAGGGGCAGAGGTGAGCATTTCAGTCAACCCAGCATCCCCAGTCAGAAGGCAGGACCGAGGAAGCCACGCACCGCTGTCAGGGACACCAGTACTCTCTGGAACATGAAGGATGTGTCAGAACAGATGTCCTCTTCAAGGCTCCTTCCATATTCTATCAAGAAATTGGAAATGGGTACGTCAGAACAGAGACCTGGCTGGTGCTGTCACCTTCCAGCCTGCTCTGTCCCTCCCAGACAGCCTGCTCATTGGAGCAGCACAGACCAAGGTGCTGCCAAATGAGGTTTTCAAAATCTGAACTGTGCCAGGCCCCGGCCCTCCCTGAGGACCTACAGGTAGCTAATGGCTGTTGGAGGAAGTGGTGGAACCCTTGGTAAGGTTAAGTACCCATGCTCCTGTAGGCGATCTTTCACCTACGCACCTATAAGCAATTCTAGTGAAGCCCATTAGCTCATAACAACAATAACAGAACAAACATCAAAACAACTTTGGTTAAAAAAACCATGACCCAGATGCTTATTTGTCATAGTGAGAAGGAGCGATAGCTGTCTCTTATGATGAAAGCGGGGCCCGGGTTCTCTTTGGTCTTCTGCCTGTGACTTTGCTATGCAAATGCTATGTGTCTGAATGGAAGCTGGCAAGGTGACCAGTGTCACTGGACAGAAGTCCCCAGAAAAGTTCTAACAGATCTCCCTAAAGAATGACAACCTCTACAGCCCCCATAGCCACTGTGGAACAGGTGTCAGGGTTAGGGGTCCAGCTCCAAATCCTGGGTGGGGCTGAGGTCAGGTTGGGGTCAACTCCAAATCCTGGGTGAGGCTGTGAGGGAGACATGGAGGGTTCTTGTGCTCACATAAGCACAAGGAGACCAGGAGTGTTAAACACATGGACCTGCTCCTTCAAAGGAAGGGATGTATAACCTGTTATCTTCCCAGAAGGCTGGGAGCAGACATGGTTAATAGTCTGGTGACCTTTGTGCTCTCTGTGTGGCTGAGACCAGAGGGATCCTCCCCAGACCCTTATCATGAACTTGTCAATCTATAGAATTTATCTTTATGGGAGGTATCACATGTAACCAATCTATAGAATATATCTTTATGGAAGATGTCACATGTTCTTTACAGAGTTTTGAAGCAGTCATCTTAAGTTTTATTGTGCACGCAGGATTGAGTTCATTATCACCAGGAAATTTTTCACCAAATAGTGGTGTGCTTTAATATGCAAAAAAATAAATTACTCAAGGTCAGAGTCAACCAAACTGCCTTCTCGCCTCCCTCAGACGGTTGTTCTGCCAGCCGTGGCGTTCTAGAGACCTTCATGGGGCTGAGGTCAGGGTTGGAAGTGAAAACCAAACTCTTCAGGGTTAGAGGCTAACTCCAAATCCTGGGTGGGACTGAGGTCAGGGTCAAGGCTCTAACTCCAGACTCCCAAGGTTTAGTCTCAGGTTGTGAATACTTGAGCAAGAGACCCTACTGTGTGACAGTTTTCTTCTCAGAAGCAGTACATACTGACTTTGAAAACACAGGGATTAGTAGTGATGTGGTATAGCTCTGCACTACAGCCTAGAGCGCTGGCCTAGCTTGTGAGAGACCCTGGGCTCCATCCCTAGCACCCAGGTGGGCCACAAATATGGCAGAAAACTCACAGTAAATAAATAAAATACACAGGAGAAAACCCCATCATAATCTAATAGCTGAGAAATAATAGTCGTTAGTCTTTCTTTCCAGTCCTTGACAACCTGTGCCAGGGCCTGGAGAGTGCTACTTACGCTGCTGGTATGTCTGGTTGATGCGACGGATCTCTTCAGGGGTACGAGAGGCCAGGATCTCAATCAGACAGCCCTCGTCTGTGCCAGCTCCCTAAATGTGAGGGCATAGATGAGATGGTACGGGCCAGTGGATCAAGGTAATGGGCAATTTTTATGCACAGTTAAACAAATAAAATATAATTACATTTACTAATTAAAATCAGAGTCCATCACTCAGAAGGAATGCAGAAGCAGGGTATACTAGCAGCCCGCCGGGTCCAGAAGCAGGGCCTATTAACTTTCACCTGTCCCTCCCAAGACCAGTGTGTTTACCATATCATTATTAACAACAATGTGCCCTTGTAGAGCCCAGTAGCCATCTGTTGTTTGTCATAACAGGTTAGGTGTTGTTTCTGTCCTCTGGGGTTCTGCCCTTTCTTCGACCTCTGCTCTCTTTCTCTGAAGGTCAGAATGTTCTGGTAAAGATGTTATCTCCCCGTTTCTCTAGAGCCTAGCCAAGAACCTTCTACATGGTATAGTATTTAGTGATAGGCAAAGGAGGATGGCTATACTGGCATCTCAGAGTCACTTGCTGCCAAGCAGCTCAGCTATAGAGAATGCGCCTGCCCACCTGACACCTGGGTCCTACCAGCACCATGGAAGGAGCAAATGGCTCAGCAAATCGTGGGGATTTCTTAATTACAACAGCTGTGTATATTTCCAGAGTGGGAAACCTGCTTCCCATCATCTCTCTTCCCTCATCTCAGAAGGGTTTGGCCATAGGCTTTTGTTTGTTTGCTTGCTTCATTGTTTTTAACTTTTTTAAGATTTTAGATCATATGTGTTGGTCTCTGCCTGTGAGTGCAGTGCCCAAGGAGGCCAGAAGAGGGCATCAACACCCCCTAAAACTGTAGTTACTGGAGGTTGTGAGCTGCCCAGCATGTGCTGGGAAGTAAGCTACAGCCCTCTGATAGAGCTGAAAGCACTCTTAACAACTGAGCATGTGGTCCAGCTCTGCCAGTCATGTTCCTGAAGGATAGCTCATTATGTGCACGGGGAACACCAAAAGTTCAAGGGGACCACCAACCTTCATAGCCCTCCTCAGCTCCTGCACGTCATACAGCACCGTGGGCGTCATCATCCCCAGGATCACCTGCTCAAAGTTGCTGCTCAGCTCCGACTTCAAGTCCTCAATCAGGTCCTGCATTGAGAAGAACGTGTCTACTTTTAGCGGCTACTGTCACTCATGCCTGACATATCCAAGTATGGGGCAAGAATGTCCTGTGACGGGGTGACATTTTCCTAAGTCATACATCTGCATGTCTACAGTCACACAAGAAGCCTGTTAAGTACTTCCTGCTTCTCCAACTAAGACCAGATTTTACTTATTGACCTCAACCAAAACCAAACAGCACAGCAAATAAGGAGAGTGTGGCCATTTCCCATTATGCCAAACTCTACTGAGATTTGTAAAACAATGCCAGCTCTCTCGTTATGTTTTGGTTTGGTTTGATTTTGTGTGTGTGTTTGTGTGTGCATGTGTGTGTGTTGTTGTTCTCATTAAATTCTATTTTCAAATTCATAGCTACTTTTCTCTTTTTAAGATTGGAAATTACATTCAGTTATCTGTGTTGTGGAGGTCAGAGGACAAGCTGAGAGAGAAGAGTCTCTGTATCCTGTGCGACCGAACTCAGGTTGCTCAGCTTGGCAACAAGCACTTTTACACATTAAGCCATCTCGCTGGCCCCATACTTTGTGTATATACATACACATATGTGTATAAATGTTTGTGGGTCTGTATCTGTGTGTAGGTACATGCATGCACACATAAACATGAGTGTGTGCAAAGGCCAGTTGTCTGTGTCTGATGTCCTCCTCAGTTGCTCTCTAAAACTGAGGTCTACAAGGTCTCCCACTGAACCTAGAGCTCACTGATTAGATAGGTAGGGTGGTTGGCCAACAAGCCCTAGATGTTTTCCTGTCTCCTCCCCAGTGCTGGGAATATGTATATCTTTCTATCATGCATATCTTTATGTTAAATCCACAAATGTGGATTGAATGAATAAATGAGTGGATGGATGAATTAGAAGTCTATTAATATCGGTCATCTTAGATTACCGTAGGTTAGCTCTGTTCTGAAGGTAATCTCAAGTGTGTATTGTAACAATTATAATGTAATGTAGATATAGCACTTCCATGTATAGCTCACACCTCCCTTGACTGTCAGCATCTGCCACTGCTCTTTCAGTTTCCCTGAGGATGGGAACAGTTTATGGTGTTCTGGAGAGAGTCGGTGACAGTCTATCCCATTCCCTACAGGAGTGCCCAAAAATTCCCCTGTAGATGCTCTGGAGGGCATCGAGTCAGCTCTGCCCTGCCCATCCATTCCCTCCCCACCTTGACCAGCAGTTTGGAGCCATCTGTGAGAAGCAGCTTCAATGTTCCCTGCTGTGATATCTCCCAAGATGGATGCACTCGGCATGACATCACTGGGCACCCATGTACAGAGACAAGGTTCTCAATAGAGAAGCAGAGGGTTGGCAGTGCTTTAATGGTGATGTGTGGAAAAACTGGGCTGAATAATTCTGATGAAGGGGTGTGTGTGTGGTTCAGACAAAATCTAGAGCACTCGGGTGAACAGATGAGTTTATAAGCCGCCATTCGTGTGTTCAAGATTGGTGCCACTGCTGTTCATCTGCATGTCCAGATGCTGAAGGGCCTGGTCCCCAGTTGATTTCTGATCTATCAATAAAGATGCCAATGGACAATAGCTGGGCCTGGGACAGGACACTGAGAGTTTCATGGGTAAGACACAGAGAGGAATGACAGAATCATCTGGACTGGGGGGAGACGGATGAGATGCAGTAGCAGCAGGAAATAAAGCCACTCAACCATGTGAGACTTCAGGTAACTGGCCACAGGCCACTTCTTTGATTGGGCCCAGGGTAGCAGGTGAAGTAGTGCCCAGCCTTTGAGATAGCTAAGGCATTTTAAAAATAAGCTTGTGTGTGTGTTTTCCATTTGATAGCTCCTGGGCTGGTGCACATACAACTTGCCAGGAGCACAAAATAATACAGTGAAAACATGCAATTACACAGAAAGCCCTGCTTGCTGGAGTGTGAAGGGTCTAGAATTTCTGTGTTTTGATTTTTACAATAATATCCTTTAAATTTACTTTTCAAACATTTCTTTTTATACTATTTAGTGTGTGTGTGTGTGTGTGTGTGTGTGTGTGTGTGTGTGACCTCACATGTAGAGGTCAGTGGACAATTCTGTGGAGTTGGTTCTCTCCTCCCACCAGGCGGGTCTCAGGTATCGAACTCAGCCCATCCAACTTAGGGGGAAGCACCTTTACCCACTGAGCTATCACTTTATATCACTGTTTTTAATGGATGGTTAGTTGTTGTAATGGGGCACTGTGACATTTTAGTGTTTGTATACAACGTGTGGTTATCAAGTACAGGGACTGGCATACCTGTTGCCTCAGATGGTTGTTATTTGTTTGTGTGAGGAACATTTAAAATCCTCTCTGCCCTTCATTTTGAAGTATTCGGTTAGCTGTCACCACAGTGACCCTCCCATGCTCCAGAGCCTTAGGACTCATGCTGTCCTCTAGCTGCTCCCCAGTATCTGTGCCTCTTCTCTCTGCCCCCTCTTCCCCCACCGTCTTCCTATATTCTGATAACCACTAGCTTCATAGATAGTCTTAAGGCATTGGGTCACTTCAGAGTCTAGCTTCGGGAAGGGGATGGTGTATGAAGTGGGGGGTGGGGAGGGGAGGATCCGCTTCTGGGCCTACCCTGCCGACGGTGCTCTTGTAGGCACTCCTGATTTCCTGGCGTTGGGCAGTGTTTCTGTAGGCTAAGACTGAGATAATGGCATCTTCGTCAGTACCTGGAGACAGGATGGAAACAGCAGGGGTCAGGATTTGCCTGGATGAGGAAAAGGTCTCCCCTGTTCCCACTGGAGTTACCTAGGGAAGCCTGAAGGTTTGATGTGAAGAGAGAATCTGGAAGCAAGAGCCCAGGGAGGAGTTCACCTTTCTCACAGCTGGATAATTATTGTTTGAGGAACTTGCCTTTAACTGTTGGAAGCAGTTGGGGTGCATGGGGGAGGGAAGGGTAGAAACTGTTCTACTAAAATGTGGCCTAGAGAAAGTTTTAAATGTGTTCTCCACCGTCATTCTTCACAGGCTTAGAGATCCAGCAAAGGTGAGGGACAAGGAGACCAACAGAACTCTCAAATCCAACCTTCAGACCTCTGCACTGGAAAGAAAGAGCCCTTCCTGCTTTGAACCCTCACATTAGCTTTGAGGTTTGTTGTTGTTGTTGTTGATTTTGTTTCGTTTTGTTTTTAAATGCCCCACCTTCCTCCAGATTCAAACTTCCTTCCAAGCCTTGCAAAATGTAGCCCTATGGCCACAGGGGAGTGAACCCAAGGGCCTTGTGCATGGTGGGCAAGCACTCTACCAACTGAGCTGCATTCTCAGTTATGTCCCAGTATGTTTATCTAAAAGGTGACCTGTTCATGAATAGGTCCAGTGCCCACAGTGCCCTTCTCACGACTGACATACCACACTCTGGACACCTGGAAAGGTACTTACCGAGACCTTTCATGGCCTTCCTCAGGACCTGGGCATCTTCAGTTGCATTGAATCCTGAAGCAGCTTTCACGGTTCCTCCTTTGGTTTCCTGACCGCACAGAAAATGACATGACTGACAGGTGACTGCTCATTCAGAAGCCCAGGCTCTACCCCAGGTACCAGGGCAATAGCAGCAACCATGAAGAGAGGTTCTCACTCTGGGGGAGCCACCACCTTCTCTGAGAAAGGCAGACAATGAGCACACCAAGAAACACACATTCCATCGGCATCCTGGTGTGAGAGGTGTCACCAAATAAGTAGAGTCCCAATGGGCTGCAGGAAGCACTGCCATTTAGGCCGAGAGATGGTTCGTGGGAAGCATTTGGCCATACAACAATGAAGGGGGTGTGCTAGAGACCAAGCAAAGGCTATTCCAATGACTCTGGGGCTGCCACTAGCTTTGAAAGAGCCTGAAGCTCATGAAAAGAATCTGATCTAAGAGAAATCATACCATCTTCTGTAAAGCAATTTTCTAAAAAGGAAAAAAAAAAGATTAAGTATGAATTTAGTCAAGTTCATGTCTGTAGAGCCCAAAGCCAAATTGCTGTAAATATAATGCAGAAAGAACTATCAAACCAACAATATAGCTCCTTCAATCGATAGCTGCAGGGAAACTGGAAAAGAGAGGTAGAAGCGAAAGTTCAAGATGTTAAAAAGACTTGTCAGCAGACAGCTGCTGCACAGTGCTTCCTGCCTGTATCCCAGCACTTGGTAAGTGGAAGTAGGAATCAAGAGTTCAAGGCTAGCCTCAGACACATACCTGGTTCAAGGATAGCCTAGGCTAGAGAGACCCTTTCTCAAAAACCCAACTAAACCAAATAAATACAACAACAACAACAACAATAACAAATCTTTCATAGAGGCAAAACTATTAGGATGAAGATCTGAGTAAGGATACAACAGGACAGCTGGACAGTGATGTTTTATGACACAGGAAGTCAGTCCTAAGATTCTCTGGTCTGATAGCGGTGCTATGGCTACAGCTTACATTTTACCATTATACTCTGACTCACAGGTAGAAGATAGGATATCTGGAATCTGCTTCAAAATAACACAGGTAGGAGGAAGTGGAGATAAAGAAGACAAAAAATTGAGTATGAGTTAGTCATTAGCCAAAGGCTGGGAAATTAGTTAGACACAAGCAGGCTCAGGGGTCCCTGAGGAGAGATCTCTCTCTCTCAGCTTCTCACCCCACTTCTGTGTTCCTGCTAGCACACCGAGTTTCAGGAAGGGAAATATCAAATCACTCCTCTTTAAGATCTAAACCTACAAAGAAAGGGGCAGCTATAGATACACAAACCAGGGAGGGAGGAGGCAGCAGGGCCGCTGGAGGCCTAGCAAACAACCGCTCTGTCCTCCTGGTAAAGACAGCTACTTTTAGACATATGTATGCATCTGTGTGTGTGCGCATGTGGAGGCCAGAAGATGACACAAGGGTCTTCTCAACTACTCCATTTTGTCTTTAATTTAAAATTTTATTTGTGAGTATTGTGTGGAGGTGCCCAGGAAGTCCTGAAGACAACATCTGGTCCTCGGGAGCTGGAGCTGGAAACGGTTGTGTGCCACCAGCTGTGGGTGTTAGGAACTGAACTCAGGACCTTTCAAGAGCAACAGGAGCTCTTAACCGCTGAGCCATCTCTCCAGGCCATTTTGATTTTTTAGACAGTCAGGGTCTCTCCTTGAGCTTATTAATTGTCTGGACAGATTGGCCAGCAATGGATCCACCTATCTCTGCCTCTACTTGTGTTACAGAAGTGCACATTGGTGCATCTGTGTCAGCCCAATGGGGCTGGTGTCCTCATAGGAAGACAGAGATCACAGCCAAGTGCCAACGAAGGTAGACAGGACCTCACATGTGGCAAGCACTCTATCACTGAGCTGCACCTCAGCTTCTGAGTCAACGTTTTCTGAGGTTCTTTGGAATTCCAGTATTGAAAGTTTCTGGGTGGTTCTCAAACACCGAGTTCAAGGTTGAACTGCATTGCAGATGCCACTGTTATAAGATGAAAATTAATGTCTAACAAGGCATCAATAGAGGTGTTCACAAGGGTACCTTTGTTTACCTAGTAACATCCTACACAACTCTTTCTTGTTCTGGGGGGAAAGTTGGGAGCTTTTTTTCCTTGTGAGTTTTATGAGTGTCTTTATTGATTAAATTCTAGGGCACAATGTACGATTATCTTTTCAAGGATGATGGGGAGAGGCAGTGTCCATCCATTCCAGGAAAACTTGTTGTGGTAGCAAAGCAAACATCACCATGCTGGCTACTTTTATATCAGCTTGACACAAGCTAGAGTCATGAGAGAGGCAGGAACCTCAACTGAGACAATGCTCCATGAGATCGGGCTTCAAGGCATGTTCTTAACTAGTCATTGATGGAGGAAAGCCCCAGCCCATTGTGGATGGTGCCATCCCTGGGCTGGTGGTCCTGGGTTCTATAAAATAGCAAGCTTTGCAAGCCATGTGAGGAGCAAGGCAGTAAGCAGCACTCCTTCGGGGCCTCTGCATCAGTTCCTGCCTCCAGGTGCCTGCCCTGTGTGAGTTCCTGCACCCATTGCTTTTGATGATGAACTGTTCTATGGAACTGTGAATGAAGTAAACCCTTTCCTCCCCAAGTTGCTATGATCATGGCGTTTCATCACAGCAATAGTAACCCTGTCTAAGACAATCACATAGAAAGGAATCAGTGGACACAAGAAGTAGGCCATGCTACAACTGAGGAAACGCCATTGCCGTTACAGTAACAGGGAAGATGGGGAGAAGCAAAGGATTGTGTATAAGACAATGACTAGCGCTGGGCACTGAAGAGCAGGCAGGTGCAGCCACACAGGTGCCCTGAAGAGCAGTGCTCAGAGGGAGAGGTCAGGGTCCACACTGTGACTCAGCCATCTCCCTACTCAGAACCTCTGAGTGGGGAGAGCAGATGGACCAGTCTAAGGCAGCCCAGAGGAGCTTCTACCTTCACGCCGAACTTACCAGAACTCTCAAAGGGACCCAAGCCTGGGCCTGTGCCAAAGACCAGATCACTAAGTCCAAGGAAACCCAACCATAGCCGCCAATGAGGCAGATGGCAAGCGGGGACTGCTACGAAGCACCTCTCTAGGGCTGGCTCGAGACGGATCAGTGAGTTCTACAGTTCTTGCCATCTCAGCATTATGACCAGGGTTTGATCCCTGGGACCCGTGTGAAGACAAGAGAGAACTAATCCCACAAAATAGTCATCTAACCTCCACACAGATGGCATATGTCCCCTTCCCCAAAATAAAAGGGAAACATCCATGTTGGTGTGCTGAAGATGATGGGGCTGTCCTGAGGGATCCCCAGTGGGTGTTAGAACATGCTTTCCTCTGAATTTGCCTCAGTGTTCTAAAATGGAAAGTTATGTTTTGCAGAGAGAAAACCATCACTTGTTTCTATATTCTCAGGATGTTAGAAATGTCAGGGAGTCTGTGGATTCCTTTTCAGGGTCAAGCTACCACTTTGAAATAAATTCAAATGACATTTAAAGAAAAAAGAAAAAAGAGAAAGAAGAAGAAAAGGCCAGGTTAGGCAGTGAGGTACAAGCCTTTCATCCTAGCACTTGGGAGGCAGATGCAGGCAGAGCTCTGAGAGTTTGAAATCAACATAGTCTACATAGTGAGTTGCAGGACAGACAGGGCTATGTAGAGATTCTGTCAGAGGAAGGCAGAAAGAGAAAGTGGGGGACAGAGACAGAGACAGTGAGAGACAGACAGATAGATACTGCCTTATCATGGCTTCCTGCCCACTGCTGAACAAACAGAGTTTTGTTTAAGCCACCTAAGTACACATCCTGTGCCTGCCTGTGGCTGGCACCAGGTGGGGTGAGACACTTACCATGGCTGTAGCTCACGTCCAGAGTTCAGTCACACCAGCAGAAGCTCCTGGGAGGGGAGGGGGAAGCAGAAGAGAAATTACTGTGACCAGGGATGTGGTATTAATCGTTAGTCAGGATACTATGTTTGCACGAAGCTGAGCCAAGAGGAAACATACATGATTTTGTCAAAAGGTCACCAGTGCAGGAGCCAGAGCTCCTGGACCAGGCTAATCATTAAAGAAAAGATTTGAGCGGTTGAGTTTATTATGCCAACAACATGCTTCCTGATAGCTCCTCTGTTTTGGAGACACACACTACAGCTGTTATGTTGCCTTGTTGGAGTGAAGTACTGTTACTGACTCTCAGGACACACAGGTTCTGAGTTAAACAGTACTGCAAGTCAGAACAGGGCGAGAAGAGATGAGCCATCTGAATCAAGAAACTGTGGTACTTAAGATGGTCCCGTATGTGTGCACATGTGCCTGCGTGGCCATTAATGTGTGCACGTACCTACATCCTGTGTGTGCATTCATACAGGTGTGTATTGTGTATCTGCATCTGTGTACATGCATGTGTCTGCATGTAGGTCTGCATACACATGCGCAGATGTCTGTCTGTGTGTCTTGACAGCCCACCCAGCATTGGACTGTGTTCACTCCTCAGATGCCATTTTGTCCTTGTAACATGACAGGAGTAAAGGGCCTTCTTGTCATTGATCCCTCACAAGTTCACATATGTCTTCAGTTTCCACTGCTCATCCTTCATCAGAAAAGCGTGTGTACAAAAATCTCATCTGCACAAGGCATCTCAACATCCAGAGTCATCCTGGAACCAGTGGGTAGAATATCTGGGAACTTGTTACAAATGCAGAATCCACTGGGTGAAGCATGCTTGTAATCTCAGAACTCAGGAGGCTGAGGCAGGGGAATTGTGAACTCAAGGCCAGCCTGGGCTGCCTGGGACCCTATCATTAAAAAACTTCAAATAACAGCTTCTCTCAACAAAACTGAACATTATCACTGTGTCACTAAAGCAAGTGTCTGGAGAGATGGCTCAGTGGTTACAAGCACCTACTGCTTTTGCAGAAGACTGGGGTTCAGCTCTCAACACCCATGTTGGGTGGCTCACAACCATTTGTAACTCCAGTTGATACTCTTCTGTGGCCTGCAAGGGCATCCACACACTGGTGGTACACACACACACACACACACACACACACACACCCCAGACACAGCAAAAATAAAATGAAGATGAAAGCAATATTTTATTAGCTAGGACTGGTGGAGGTATGAATTCATTCATTCGAGTACACGTCCTCTCAGTGAACTTCTGGTCAACCAGGATTGACAGAAAAAAATAAAGATGATTTCAGATGCTGGTAAGATAAAGATATAACGGGGAAAATAATACAGAGCAGAGGTCAGCAAAGCGCATGTTATCGGAGGTCTGACTCTGCCTCTTTAGTCATTTTCAAACAATTGCCAAAGTAGAGAAGGAGGAGGAAGAGGAAGGGCAGGAAGATGATATAATCCTGGTATGCAACAATTGTGTGAAATTCAAACTTCAATGAGAACAAGTTTGTCTAACATCTCATGCTTGGCTTCAAGGTACTCCATAGTGAACTGTAACCAAACCGACCCTTGTAGCAAGCCGCTGACTCTCAGCCAATCACAAGCAGCAGCTGTTCTACCCATCTTCTGATAAGACGGATAAGAGCTGTGACCAATCAGATTGCCTCTTGTACCCCACTTCTCTGTACATCCCTTCCTTTACTTTCTTCTGGTGTTAAGTAACTTGATGCTGCAGAATGGGCATCTGACCGACATTGATCTGGGCTCTGGCCCGGTTCCAGGATCAGAAGCAAAGCCCATCAAGATCCATAGAGTTTGGACCATTGCTATTTTGTCTTTAACATAGATGCTGTTATGATCTGGGTACCAGGAAAGAGCAGACCCAATAGCGTAGCCCAGAAGCACCTCTAAGGAAATGCCATCCAAGCATCCAAGCTGAAGGAAGAGCTCAGGCTGACCTCGAACTCCATATATATTTCAAAGATGACCTTGAATTTACCCTCCTGGCTCCATTTCCTGAGTGCTGGATTACAGGCCTGCAACACCATGCCCATGCCCCATTTATCTGGTACTTAGGATTAAACCCCGGGCTTAGTGAGTGCTGGGTCCATGTCCTGCCCACTGAGCTACACAACCAGCTCAGCTGAATGAGGATCCAATGAAGGGCACAGGAAGACGCTCCAAGTTCCAACAGAGACTCTTCCAGGTGGAACAGGTGTGGAAAGACTCTGAGGCAGAAATGAACTAGTGTGGCCAGTGATTCTATGGCTCATCATAAACTACCCACACTAGGGAAGGGAGCAGGGGATCATGGGAACTTCTGTCTCTTTCCCTATGCCTGCCCTCTGTGCCTGCCTCTGAAGTCCAGCTTTTATAAAGTGCTCATGATTCATTCAGCAAACTCTTGGCCTGAGTTCTGCAAGACATTCTCTCATTCAAACAGGGGAGCTATGGGATCCCTTGGTTTATTGCCTGTGAGCCAGAAGTATCTCCTGGCTAGAAGGTGATACGTGAACTGGGCAGTGTGGTGGGATAGAGTCTTTAGTCCTTAATAGTAATGGAACTGGGTTAAGGTATAGGGTACCTATTTGGAGCCAAGAAAGAACTAAAGAATTGCTTGGGGTGGAAACCCACCACCCCCAAATCTAGAGGCTGACACACTCAACTGCTGGGCTGAGATCTCCTAACAGCCAAAGAATGAAAGGCCTCAGAAACATTCTCAGAGCCCAGTTTCTCTAGTCTCCTCCTACGCCCTAGTCCCTTCCCAGCTTGACCTTCCCAAAGTCAGTCAGGCAAACCAGGCTTCTAAACCCCCACCCCCACCACCAAAGCCCTGCCCCTTCCCACCGCCAAGTAAACCACGGGGTTTGGAGCACTGAGTTAACCTTTTCTTCTATTTCTGTGTAGGAAACTCTCATTTGTCTTATTTCACAGTAAACCACGTGAGTCTCCACACAGGGGGCTCTTGCACCACACTCAGGAGAAAGGAATGTGACACCCTCAGGTATGTGCCACTGGGTCACACCTTCTGCCCAGTTAGCTGCATTTCCACACACCCATCCATCCTCCATGGAACCTAAACGGAAAACCAGAACTTTCCCCAGGCCTGGTGTGGTGGCATATAGCTTTACTCCTAGTGCTTAGGAGGCAGAGGCAGGCATAACTCTCTGAGTTTGAAACTAACCTGGCCTACATAGTGAGTTCTAGGACAGCCAGGGCTACACAGTGGGACTCTGACTTAAAGAAAAAAAAAGAAGAGAAAATAAAAGGAAAGAAAAGAAAAGAGAAGAAAAGAAAAGAAAATCTCAGAATTTTCCTTGGGTGTTCAAGGTCTTCATTGATGAAGACTTGAGTCTGTATACAACTTTAATTAAATAAACGTGTTAAGCTTTTTGTGTGTTAAACTTCTTGTTATAGGACTGTCGGCTGTACCACATCTTTCTGCAATACATGGCACCAGATGTGAGGAGTTCGAGGCCAGCCTAGGTTACATGAAATCTTGTTTAAAACAAACAAACAAACAAACAAACAAACAAGCAAAAGCAAGAGCTCTGAGGAGACACAAGACAAGCACAAGGGCCTGAGCTCAGTCCTCAGAGCTCATGCATAAAGAGGTGCTCGCCTGTAAGCTCAGCACTAGAGTGGCAGAGACAGGCAGGTACCTGTGCTCGATTGTTGGTGGTGCTCCCCTGTAAGCTCAGCACTAGGGTGGCAGAGACAGGCAGGTACCTGCGCTCGATTGTTGGCAAGCCTATTCTACAAGGCCAAAGAGAAAACCTGTCTCAAAACAATGGTACGCTGTACCTGAGGCATAACACAAGAATGTGTCTTCTAGCCTCCACATGAAACACACACATACACACATATGCATGTGCACGCACACACATACACACATAGACTTGAAGGTGAACACACACATACACACACATATAAACACATACAAACACATACATGCACACACATATACACACATATACACACACATACAAACACAT